ATATAAGATACTACTGTACCTTGTTCCACATAGTAAAAGTAACCAATACGTAAAAGTAATGCGAAGTTTTTCAAATCTGAATGAGGTCACATATAAAACGGTATGTCCGCAAATAAAAGTAGAGAAATCTTTCACATTTTGTACATCTAAGATCATTTGCCATGTGTCGAAATCTATATTCGTTTTTGATCGCATAGGTCACAGCCCAAAAGGATATATATATATATATATATATATATATCAAGATAGATAGATAGATATGCATGCGCTTAAAAGCGTCAACGGTTTTACGCAAGCGGTATTTCCTCGATGATCATGCGTGAGACGCTATCCCAGGAGGTGTAGCTGTCGCCGTGGGGGTGTGCTGGATTCCTGCAGTCTCCCACGTACAGCTGTACGTTCACTATACCAGTAGACAGGCCATAGCAGATGCCTTCAACTGTCAACAATACACAGTATATTATGAAGATGTGGAGTTCTGCGTAAGATATTTTAGCGGGGATGAGGGAAATACTGGCGCAACTATTGTTTGGAGCCCCGACTCTAATTTGTGGAAATGGGTATTTTCGAAATACTCTGCATCCTTCATTGTCAAAATAAAAAACCCAGCCCAATCACCAAGAATTCAAACGTTCTCACCCCCCCCCCGCCGCATAGTCATCACGTTTTTTGGAAAGCACTTGGCGAACACAACGTACGATACGTACGTATCGAAGGCATGTGTATGTTTAGTCCCTCCAGATTGCTGTAGAGTTGGGCGTCAATGCGGGCCGGGTTGCCACACTCGTTGCCGTTGAAGGCGATGTGCCAGCGACTGCACAGCTTGGCTCCGGTCTTGATGTTACGAATGTTGCCTATCCATCTGACGTGCAGCCCGGTGTCATCCCTCAGCTTTGTAATGCTGCATTGCTAGGAAATGTGAATGTAAGCAGGACTTGTACGCGAATATTTAAGTTATACTTGCGAGGGGGGGGGGAGGCAGAGTAAACTGCGATGAAGGTATTTAAAAATGAAACAAAACATCTGATATGGTGCATCACAACCAATCGTACACTAGGTGCAATTTCCATAAAGAATCCTTGTGATTCTCACATGCCTAGCTATAATGAACGTGATTAACTGCATTTCAGTGTAAGTAACCAAGATGTGTTGAGTGGTGATATAGATATGATACTTGCATGAACCAATCCGTTATCTTTTCCATCGTTAGCATTATCCCACGTGCACTGGTGGATCTTCCTAGCCGCACACGCTGGGCATTCAGCTGGAGTGGCACTCACTCCCGCATTACCTTTCTCACATGTGGCTCCCATGTTACCCGGAAGGCCTGTAATGTAAGACTTTCGTTACCGTTACTTCCAGTCTAAATGATTTCGAAATCATTGCTCAAAAACGCACAATCTGAAAAAATATATAGCGAACCTCAACCGAGTGTGCATGCGAACAGCGATAGCCGCCTGGTGATTTTCTACACTACAGCGATTTTTCACGGACCCACGGTGACAAAACACATCTCTGTAATTGCTCTTTACAAACCCTGGTCGCCTTTCTCGCCCTTCCCTCCATCTCGTCCCGTCAAGCCGTCTCTTCCATCCGTCCCGGCAGTGCCTGGAAGGCCATCTCTACCGTCCCGCCCTAGTGCTGGCCTCTCCTGCCAAATTGCGCTATATCGTCATTGATACCCTATTATCGTTCACGGGATTCGATTTTCCATAAAGTATGCCAATGGTCGTATGTTTATTGGCAATCAAAGGGCTGAGGCGTTTGCGCTGTGATACATTCAAGGTTGAATAATCGCTTTAACGTTATGTCGGATGTTATGCCAGGAAGGGTGCAGCAGTTGAGGAGAAGGCTGAAGTAAGTCAATTATGCGCTTTAAAACGAAATAAAGGTGTAATATAATAGAATGCAAGTAGAGTGGACGATATTTACAGGGTATATTTAATAGAGCGCTAGTACAGTTTGTTTTAAGAAAAGGTGAAATCATTCATGACATAAAATATATACATTCGCGATCGCTTTATTAATTTGTACCCTACATGTCGGTGTAAAATATATACACGCATAGAATTAGAATATATGGTCCTACTCACCACACACTGGAGAGGCTGGGTCGGAATATCTGGAACAGCATTTGCACCTAAATACGCACACAGCAACATTAAATTAAAACATACAAGTATGGTCTGCATCATTTTACGCTGGAAACACGAGAAGCGCATTAGAAGGAAACTCGACATCTGTGAGTTTACGTATATATCGATGATGGAGTTATACCGGTTTTGGATACCGGTTTTATATCCGATTTTGGATACAAGAAATAGGATGTTATAAATTCTACACATGATGGATAGGTACCGGATGTTTATTTAGGTTTATAACGTTTTAAATCCGGTTACTAAATTTCAGAACTAGACAGCTGCGAAGGTAAACACTGTGAAACTGTCAATACATAACAGTGTAAAACTGGTTTTTTTCACACTGACGCGTGTATGTCATATTGCAGTGGCCCTAGGGGTGGCCACACTGGACTTTCACACGTGCTGTGGTTAGCACGTGTAATTTATTTGTGTCGGGATCATTTTCCGCTCCTACCGTGAAGGTAGGACGGTGATGCAGTAGCAAGAAAAACCCCAGAGTGAAATGAACGCAAGTCC